AGACAGGTGTTCACAGAAGGAAGTCGGTCACGTTGGGGATTGTCGAGCTTTTTAAGGCACTCGGGAGGTCCACCGTAGACCCGGACGATGGAGCATGTAGTACTCGTGGCCTTGAGGGTACGTCCCCTCCTGATTCACTCAGGATGATTGAAAAGATCAGAGTGGATAACAGGGCGGGAGAAAAATAAAATCAAATCCAAGGTTGAAGCGATAGTAAGGACGAGGGAAGGAAAAAAAGGAGACGATCGCACCAAAGTGGGGGCAAAAAAAAACCAAATCTCAAACGGGTTAAAAGGCACGAATGTCAGAACGTGACCAGTGGAGAGAAAGAGTAGTCAGGTTCAGGGACAGACAGAAAGATGGAAACACTTCGAGGTAACCAGCGATGGGAATGGTGACTGAACAGGAACAGGAGGCAGTTCCAAGAAGATGATATGGTCGGAAGTGGTCGTGGTGGATGATGCAAAGTGGCGACAGTCCAACAGTCCCAAAATCAGGATCAAAGAATAAAATCAAAGGGTCAAATCAAATCAGAGCCAAGACTGAATAAAAAGGGAAAAAATAATACTAAAAAAAGGAATAAGATAAAAGTACCAAAAAGCCGAAACGGATGGAGGCTTATCAGGCAGCGAGGTGTGGATGGGTGTGTCTGCCTCAGGTGACCCGATGTCACCCCAAGATGATGCCATCATTGATACTAAAGAGCAAATTCGATGGAGTTTATACTGATTTGGGCGATGTTTTACCATGCCTCATCCAGAGTCCGATCAATCCATCTTCAACACGCGTGGTGATGGATTGAAGCTGGTTGGCAGACTCTGTATTGAAGATGAAGAAGGCTGATGGTGGTGGCTTGATGATGCATGACGCATGCACGGCTAACAATCCGGGGCGGTCAAACATACAAGATAAGACAGTCAATCGATCCATGATAGGCATCGTGGATCAACATGGAGATAAGGGATACTCCGTGCTCCGTACTTGAAACAGCATCGTCCCGCGGGTCTGGGAACTGATCCAGTACGATGGAGAGATAGTCGCATGGGAAAGCTGGAGTTGTCGACACCAAACTCCTTCAGGATAGAGATGGCCCCTTGATAGGTACGGAGTGCGCTGTCAGGCGCTTTCATAGGTGGATTCATGTTCCTTCTTTCTTTCTTCTTTCTTCATCTCTTGTTTTTCTTCATCTTGTAGTAATTATTGTCGCTTTGGGATAGTTGTCGCTGTAGCTGTAGCTGTAGCTGTAGCCGGACAACCGGATAGCCGAATATTGAACATCTTAAAGGTCATACAATGGCGCACGGGATATCAAGTTGCAAGGGCAATAGTTCATTCAATCACTTCTTCCATGGTGACTGGACAGTGGACACTGGACAGAAAAGACTGCTGTTGGTGTTGGTAGTTTGAAAGGAAAAGGAAGAGGGGAAAATCCAGGTGGGGAGAGGGTCTGCATTAAAGCAAGTTCCGAGAGGGGAACACAAACCACCAACAACATTCTTGGTGTCTCACACGCCTTTCCTTTTTTCCCTCCGAAAACCCAGTTTGCCTGCCTGCCTGCCTGAGCAATTTCCTGCCGTCGCTGCCCGGTCTTGGCATGCTGACGTTACTGTGCCTGAGGCATATATGCTGTCTTGACTATTATCTGCTTCGGGCTACTGCCTAGGCATTACTGTCGTTACTTGTAGTTAGTTGCTTCGTTGTAGTTGGTGAACTATAAGATATTGTACCAAATACTTCGTAGAAACCGTATATTATACTATATAGACCCCTTCAATCCTTACTGCCATATAAACCAGGACAATAGGTAAAAGGTACTAATGATAAGTCACACTCCAAATCGTATATCCCCCGCTCTTCCCCAGCGGGCTCCCGTCGGTATACTCCAGCTTATACCCCTTTCCATTACCCAAGAACTTCGTGCGGACATCCGCCGCCTTCTCGCGCTTCGACACCAGCGTCCCGCGCGGACCAAGCCACCTCCCATCCAGCGCGCTCGACACCCGGAAGATCTGGCTCTCCTCGTCCTCCGTATAGTGGATCACCCACCGCTGCTTGCGATCGCGGTGGTCGGCGTGCGCCGGGGCGCGCGTCACCGCACTCGCATTGTGACCGGGGTTGGTCAGCGCCTTGCCCTGCTGCTCGAACGTCAGGTATCGACCCTCCGTCAACCCGCCAACGACCTCCTTGTACCCGTCCTCGAACCACAGCGCTTCAGTCACGTTGTCCTGCTCGCCGAAGGGCGCCGGCGGGCGCGTGAGCGGGTGCGTCGCCGCGCAGTGTGCCATCCCCGTGTAGAGATCGCCCAGGGTGCGCGGCTCCTCGGCCTCGGGAAGATTAGGGAGGGTCGGATCCGGGTGGTCGAGGTCGAGCGCGCCGACGAGGTTAGACATGTGCTCGCGGCGCCAGGGGACCATCTCCGGGGTGCGGACGTCCTCGTACCCGCGGGCCTCCAGCCACTCTTCCACGAACAGGATCTGCGAGTTGTGGTCTGCGCGCTCGGTGAAGACGCGATTCCCGCGCGTCCAGGGCGAGATCATGTAGAACGGGACGCGCACGCCGGGCCCCACGAAGACCTTGCCGTACTTGCCGTACGGGTCTTCCATCCATTCGCCGGGGGTGTCTTCGGGGGAGTGGAATGGGCTGACGTGGTCGCCGAAGCCGCCGGACTCGTCGTAGCTGATCATGAGGAGGGTGGAGTTGTACTTGGGGCTCTTGGTTACGGCGTCGACGACCTGCTTTTGGAGCCAGGCGCCGTCTTTGGGCTGGTAGGGTGGGTGCTCGGATAGCGGGGCCGGGCCGATCAAGAAGCTGATCTCGGGGAGGGTTCCGTTGCCGGCGGCGGCGTAGAATTCGTCGAAGGTCACTGTGGACATGCCTTTCTTCGTGAGTGGCGAGTCGTCCGAGGCGTCCTGGTACTGCTTGAACCAGGCGAGCGGGTTGTCGTCGAAGTTGTCGTTCATGTCCTGGTACAGCTGCCAGGAGACGCCTGCTTTTTCGTAGATTTCGTAGATGGTTTGCCATTTGAGGGGGTAGCAGTTGGTGTGTGCGGGGAAGCAGCCTGTTGGGTTAGACTGATGGATACGGGGCAGGGCGAGAAGAAAAGAAACATACCTGGGATTTCATTGTTGTCAATGTAGGGACCGCCTTGGTCGGGGGTCTGGGGGCCGCCTGGGATGTTGATCGAGCCGCTCACGAGAGAGACACGGTTGGGACTGGTGGAGGTGATGTATGACTCCTGTTGATTGTTAGAACACGCCTGCAGCTGCGCAATCCCTTCCCACCAACCTGATACATATCGCCCGTCGTCCACCCTTCAGCCAGAGCATACTGGACAGGAAGGTCCTGGCGCTTATAGTACCCCCAGCTCCACGGGGTTTGAGTCTTTGCCCAGAGGTCATTCTTTCCATGGTTGACGGCGCCCTGGTTACCGTAGTAGAAGTTGCTTCCTGCGATGAGGCACTGGATCGCGTCCGTCCAGTACTCGGTGTCTTTGTATCCCAAGTGCCACGGGAGGAGGTGTTCTGCGCCTTTGGACAGGATGGGATTCACTTTTCTATATAGACGACGGGTTAGTTGGCGTCAACACTGATAGGGCTTGTAGGTCTTACTGGTACCACACCGGCTTGCCATCATCGTTAATTTGCACGTTGGGATCATTGAATCCTCGAACACCGGCCATGGTGCCAAAGTACTAACGAACAGAGCATTAGCGATAGCCAGCCAAACACCAATCCAAACAATCAATCAATCAATCAAGTGAGCATACACTATTCCACGACCGGTTCTCCTGCATGAAAATCACAACATGTTCAATATCTTTCAGCGAGCCCGCCGCAACAGGCGTGCTAGCCCCCAGCAGCAGCAGCAGGGCAGAGCCCAGCATAAAACCCATTGCTTCGTTGGATAACCTCCGAGAAACGCGGCGCAGAAAGTCAATTCAGCGTCGAAGGATCCACGCTGGCGGGGTACCCCATGATTTAAGTAGCTAACGGTCTTTCTCACTACGCTGGACGGCGACCGAGACGATGGTCGCGATCGGCGCATCGGATCGACCTCCCCATCGTCAGCACCATCTCGGACCCCGGATGAGGCCTCCTCCTGTACGATTCTTCTACAGTGGGTTAATTGCAGGGCAGTCCTTCTTATTATGGATTGCAGGACATCACGGCCCATTTAGGTACCACGTTGTAGATACAAAGTAGTCCATTGGACGACCGTCAAAAGCCAAGTAGTATCCAAACAGGAGACAACAAAGACCCAACCGGGGATGTCCAAGCGAAAAACTCCAACTTTTTAGGCAACGACCAGTCTGTCATCCGGACATCCGCCAATAATGGGGGAGAAAGAACTGGGGGGAGCCCTCGGTCGTGGTTCAGGGGTATGTGGTTCGTTGAAGGAGAAATCCGGTTGTGATGTCGATCTTCTGTCTGCAGTGACTGCACTAACGAACAGGACGATTGGGGTTGGTTAATTTATAATCGGAGCTCTGCCAGTTGTCGGTTACATCCGCGTTTTGGCTAGGGGAAGTGGATCTTCCTTGATAGGAGATATAATTGAATGGCATGTTCAAGAACGGGTCAAATGGCAGGTTGAATAACCACGACGTGAGTCGCATGAATAGAACACCCACAGACCAAAATAGTGGACTGGAGTTGTCAATGATCGGACAATTAAAACAGCTGAAGACCCATCGTAGCAATTAGTAGCAATAATAGTAACAATAGCACGGGTCAATGCCGAGGGAAGAACTGATCTGCGTTTTATGTAACGGTCAAATTCTCTTCCCCACAATCGCACCACACTAGTCTGACGCCCTGGACGCTGTAAGCATCATGATCCAACAGACTGCACCAGCCCGGCTGTCCAACTGCTCGTAGACGATACTACAACGGCATTCCCGCCGCCCAAAGAGTCCATAGTCGACGTTGACTCGATCGACAGCAACAGCAGGAAGCTCTACCCACAACACCCCGTTCTACAAAACATGCCAAACAGCCAACATGAAAAAGCGATCCTATAGCATCATCCTCTACCCATTGACAGTATGCGCCTTGATCCTGGTGGTCTTCTGGCAACAAACCAACACGCCAGACCCACTGCACTTTATTTCTCCGAAAATATCCCCTGCAGCATATCCAGCAAATCCAGCAAATCAATCACAGCAGACGAACGCCAACCCTGATGCTCTCCGTCCAAGCATACAGCTCCATCCAGAAGACCACATCCACCGCGCCCCGACAACGCAACATCTAGACTGGACCGTAACAGCAGACGATATCCGTCCAGATGGGGTGCTCAAGCGCGTCTATTTAATCAATGGTGCAGTCCCCCTTCCCCTTCATCCTGTACCTCCCATCCCCAACTCTAACAACGACAGGCCTCTTCCCGGGCCCAACAATCGAAGCCCTATCCGGCGACAATCTAATCATAAATGTCACGAATGCACTCCAAGATGTGCCCTTCACTATTCACTGGCATGGCCTCCACATAACCAGTGAGTCTCCCACCCCCCCCTTATGTCAAGACTACAGCTAACAATAAACAGATTCAATGGACGGTGTAGCCGGCGTCACACAATGTGCCATCCCCCCAGGCTCATCGTTCATTTATAACGTCTCCATCCCGTCCGACCAGAGCGGTACGTTCTGGTATCATGCACATGCAGGGCTAGCCCGCGCAGATGGGCTCTACGGGGGTTTAGTCGTGCATGCCCCGTCTGGGCCCAGCACAGCATCGGAAGGAATTCACGATGCAAGTGATAAAGATATGCTCATCCTCATCGGAGACTGGTACCATCAGCCTGCGGGGGAGGTCCTGGAGTGGTATATGCAGCCGGCGTCGTTTGGGAATGAGGTATCCTTTCCCCCTACATGTCAGAAAGTGACCCAAAGAGAAGCAAGCTGACTAGCTGAATAACGGGACAGCCCGTCCCAGACTCTCTACTGGTCAACGGCGCAGGAAGATTCAATTGTTCAATGGCAGTCCCTGCACGGCCTGTTGATTGCGTTGATCAGCAGTCAATGAGTCTGCCGTATTTGCATCCTGGGGATGATACGTATAGAGTACGGATTGTCAATACGGGGTAAGCCATAGTATCTATAATGATGGAAGGACAAGCTAACAAGATACCACAGATCATTGACAGGGCTCACCCTCACTTTTGAGAATATGGACGCGATGCTCATCGCAGTCGATAGTATCGCTGTTGATCCACTAGACGCTGCTCATCCCAGCTCGCTGGGCATGCTGTATCCGGGTCAGAGGATGGATGTTCTTCTTCGACGATCTACTAGCGCGAGCACCGATGGAGTGTCTGCATCTGCGTTGAGAATTGATTTAGATGAGGAGTACGTTAATACCTACCTACCCTACAACCCCACAACTAACAAAGAAATAACAAAATAGATGCTTCAAATACCCCAACCTAGCCCTAGCACCCGTCCAATCCTTCCCCATCTCCCCACCCCTTTCAACCCCATCCAAAGAATCACCCCCCAACCCCATCCCCGAGTTCAAATCGATTAATATCCACACAATCCCCTCGCCTCCCCAAATCCTCCAACAAATCCCCCCCACCGCATCCACAACAGCCGCAGTCTACACCAAGATCCAAAAGCTCGCCATCCGCCACAACGCCCCCTACGGCTTCTTCAACGGCACGTCCTGGCTACCGCAGCGGGAACCGCGGGTTCCTGTCGCTGCGTTGTCTAGGGAGTTGTGGGATGAGAATCAGTTTGGGGTTAGCATTTCTGGCCCTGGTTCTGGCGCGGAGGTAGAGCGGGATGGAGACAGCGGAGAACAGTGGGTTGACCTCGTAGTCAATAATCTCGACGACGGCGGTCATCCGTTTCATTTGGTTAGTACTGCCTGCCTGCCCATCCACCTACCCATCTACACCACATAGGTATAGGTAACACCGCTGACAAAACAACCCTAAACCGTATAGCACGGCCACCATTTCTACATCCTCAGCACACACGAATCCCGCACAGGCTGGGGCTCCTTCAACCCCTTCATCCCCCCAGATTCCACCCCCTCAGATCCCACCTCCCCAGATCCCACCTCCCCCCCGGAACAACGATATGATCTATCCCAAGCCATGCTCCGCGACACCGTGTACATCCCGCGCCGCGGCCACGCCGTGCTGCGCTTCAAGGCGGATAATCCCGGCGTTTGGATGTTCCATTGTCATATATTGTGGCATTTGGGGAGTGGGATGGGGATGCTAGTTGATGTTGGTTATGATCAATATAATCGTACTTTGGGTGATGGTGGGGTTTCAGGGGAGGTTTGTGTGGTGTGATTTGGTTGAGCTATTGGAATGGATTAGATTTATTAATAGAGTTTTATTAAAGGTAGGTACCTATACTACTAGGCTAATATCGATGACCAAGTTCATTTCGTCGTAACAGTTGTAGAACATAATGATAACAATACCGAGAGAAAGAAAAAGCCAAGCCAAGCCGATAACGCCACGACCACCAGCTAAGCCGAATTAGACGCCCACTCCACAACCTCCATAGCACACATTACAAGTACAAGCGTTGAGGGAAGGATCCTGTACCTGTTAGCAGAGGAAACCGAACTAAAAAGGCGAGGAATACACACCAAACCACATAGCTCTGGAACAGAAGCTTCGACATGGCGGACACATAGACATTATTGATCTGGCAGATCTGCGCCAGCTGCAGCGCGGACGGCGCCCCCGTGAGTAGGAAACAGACGATGATGAAGATCGGGTCGTCTAGGATGCTGACGGGGACGTATTTCGCTAGCAGGGCGAGGAAAGGCGCCATGAAGAGGGTTGGGAGGAGCATGCGAGCTACCAGGGAGGCGAGGATTAGTTTGTTCTCTTCCTTTGGGTGCTCCATTTCGAGGAGTGCCTCTTCTGGTAGTGTGTTGCGTGCTAGGTTGGCGCCGAGGACTACCAGGATCAACGGCACGGCTACCTGTGCGTTTTGGCCAATGGCGCGAGTCACTGAGTTGTGGATGAAGGTGCCCTCGTCGAAGAATAGGTGTTGGAGCGAGGGTACCGACGCTGTCACGATCGCGACTAACATGGCCCACAGGGGGGGATTCATAAAGTCCCACAAACCCCGGAAGAACCTCCGTGCGCCACTGGAGCAGGCCGACAAAGATTTCTGCATGACCGGGGGAAGCTTTTCGAAGATCGCGTCCATGCGCTTCCCTCCGTTGCTTGCGACGCGATGACCCATTCGAGAGATGGAAGCCCTGGCTCTGCCTACCGATCCTCTCTTCCGTTGCTCCCGGGGGGGAATCTCCACGCTAGGAAAGCACAGAATATCCCCGCGCGAGCTCAGACGGGGTAGGAAAGGGCCCCGTGGAGGGGCGAGATGCGTCGGGCTGCTGGGTTCCGTGTCGGTCCCGTTTTGCTGGGAATACTTGGAGTAAGTGTGCGCGCTGACGGGCGTTTGCTCCCCGGAACGGAACTCAGGACCTGGTTCCCCGGGACTGACTGGCGGGCCACTCAATGCATCCTCGGAAATTCGCGTACGGATCAGAGGCTCCTCAGTATGCTCACTCTCATCTGGATTATCCCGGTATGGCTCTTGCGCGTCTTCGACAGATTCCGCCTGCTCCCTGTCGCCATCCTCCACATATCGCTCCCGCGGAGCAAGCAGGACGTGGTATCCCCAACTCCAGCGGACGAGCTGGCCCAGCTGTTGGAAGATGAGCAAGTAGAGAATACCCCGTGCCGCCACTTCGTCGTCGTTGTCATTCGGGACGCGGTCCCAGTGTAGGCCTTTCAGGGTCTGGGAGAGCGACATGACCAGGGAGATGGGGAGCGAATTGGAGTTGCCGAAAACCTATCATCATCAGCAATGCAAAGACTGATGTCGGGCAGGAAGGCTTACAGCCATAGCCGCCACGAAATTTGCCGGTCGTTTCTTGAAGCGCAAGCATCGTGACACCGCCCAGGCGCAAAAGTACGAGACACACGTCTGGACCACGAAGATGAATGGAATGATGGCGAGATCGGTCAACTTCTCTGCGGTGAGCTGAGACCCAAGCTTGGTGAAGACTATGGCCAATTAGCAAGATGGAAACCCCCAATTTACTGGTCACCTACTAAGACACGGAGTGAACAAGAAGACATTAAGATTGGCAACAAACTTCTGCGCCTCAGCATCAAACATCCCCTGCTTCGCAACGATATACCCCGGCAAGCTCACGCAAACAACCTCCAGAACAGCCTCAAAAACGAGGAGGACGAGGTGAAAAAAGGGCGGGTGACTGGAATGTGGAGCCTGGGCATCCTGGACCAGGTTGACGCCCATCTGGGCCTGCTTTAAGAGCGCGTCACGGGGAACCAGAGAGGCGGCATTTTGCAGAGATCGTGGTGCCGTAAAAAAGGCCATCGAAGTGGGGGGAAGTCAAAATTGATCAGGGGGTTGGTGTGGACGCGATATTGCGAAGATGAGTGTTGGACAGGCAAATTGATTCCCAGCTGGTCGGGTTGACGAAATCTTGCCCGACCAGGAAGGCGGCAGGCAAAGATCTTCGGAAAGCAGGTTTTGTGGCGGATGAGCTTGCTGATAAGGTTGATAGCTCGATCGGGGAAATAGGGAGATGAAACCAGGTGAAACCCTAATCAGAGTAAAGAGAGGTAAGAAGGTTTAATTTGAGGATGTCCCAAATACGATCCAGAGGGATGAGTGAGCCTGGCAATGAGGCGGCTGCTTGATTGACGACCAGAATATCACATCATGTCATGCCTTGCATCCTGAGGCATGCTCCCTTATCTGGATGGACTGTGGCGACATGGCTCATTGGCGGGCCCTGATAGGCGGGCCGGCACTGCCTGAGGTTGGTGATCGCTGCGCCCAATAATTTGCCAAGACCTTGCCAAGTCCTTATCGCTCACTCTAACCCAACGGTGATTTGTGCCCCATGGTCGGGTTGCTGATGGCTCCTGGATCAACTTGGTTGATGTAATATGCAGAGCGGGACGACACTCCTTGGAGACCCCTAGAATCTACCGCGTCATATCACATCCAAGACATCGAATCGAGCCTTGCGAGTGGTGTGATATGGCTGTGGACACTATCTTGCCTTACTCCAATAAGTGATGTCTCTAGTTTGACGGATTACGTGGTCTGCATGTCTCTGTTGATTGAGACGGATCTGAATGTTCAAGGTACGGAGTTTTAAGATAGGAGGCATCATGTTGCGCCATGGCGTCCTTGTGTTACTTTGCCAAGATTGGTGCCAGACACGGGAGCAAAAATGCTTGCGGGGGCTCCGGGGGTCAGCAGTAGGGGGCATCCCCATAGGAATTTGAAATTGAGCCATACCGGTCAGAATGCATAGTTGATTCGTTTGCAACTGCCAGAGATGTATCGACTGTTCGTACCCTTCTATTCCAAAACGCAAGGGAAGCATTAAAGGGACTGTATGTGCAGTGCCCCACCCCGTTACTCCGCCACAGCGGGAAGATGGTGGGATCAACAGCACTAGAAGCCAAAGCAGTTAAGCCCAGTTTCGTGGTGTAGCACTCGTTGCACACCAATCCAGTGTTCCATGAGGGTGAGACGCACGGTTTCAGGGCATTGGTTCAGATCCCGACCGAGTGGTATGCTATGTGGTCGATCGAAGCAACCACGGGTGGATTAAACTTACGGTTGTTTGGGGGGGTGATCAGATTGGAAGATAAAATGACCAGATTATGGTAAGTATACGGAGTTTCGTGACGAAATATTAGATTATCCCAACGAACGGATGAACAGGAGGATGTTGCGGACATATGGATGGGGCTGGAGTTGGTTAGCGCCGAGGGTACTTCCGGTTGGCCTGAAACCAAGTTATCCCAGTCGTAACCAGGACTCGGGGGCCCCGTTATTGGTAAAGCCAGTGGTGGCGCGGTACATTCGTCGGTAGCTTGCTCTGTAGCCTCAGATACTAGTCGGGTATCGTTGTCTAGACAATGCCATAGTCCGTCGCATTATTCTCTCCGAGGCTGGACACGGCAGACAGAGAGCATTCTGCAGTAGTTGATATCAATGAAATCATAAGTGTCAATTACTCATGTAGTGGAGACCGATGGGGATAGATGGGGTTAACCAGGAAGGCAGTGTACAGGGTTCAATTCATCTTGAAGATCCGCTGGAGAGTCGCCCCCCCCCCCCAGTCCGTATACCCTATTGGCGCCTGTCCTGCGGTATTTTTGACTCGGAATCGGCCGCGGCAGTCTTCCCATCCGACCCTCTCAGGTGTAGGAGATGGAAGGTTGAACGGAATCGGGCGGAGCGGGGACCGGGTTGGCCGTGCGTGGCAACTGCCATCTGCCAACGACGGGGCAGAGATGAAGGATTCGCCACCGATCCATGAAACAAACCCAAGGAATTCCAGGGCTGCACGGTCCAGCCGGCCGCACCAGGGCCAAACTGTTCTGGGGTTGACTTTCAACAGAATATGAGTCAGTTAACAGGAAAAGGCTTGTTTGACTCCCCATCTGTCCGATTTAGAGTTTAAATTATCTTCTAATACATGGTCAAGTACGGAGAAGTAAAGAACAGTCTAACCTACGACCTAGTGCCTACTACTCCGATATTGCCCAGGTGAGGTTAAAGAGGCGACCGTCCGGGACTGCTGATTGGCCGGAGAGTCATGCCACAAAGCCCAGGCAGGAAATCCAGAATGCATGCCTGGAGAACCTGAGGTTGTCGAGAATTCTCCTGATCGGCCAACTTTCTCCAATTTTAATGGATTTTTTGATAAATACTTGGATAGATATTCTAATAGAAATCAATAACGCATCAAATTAATTGTTGAAATGGACAGATTTACACAACCTAGCTCTTCTATCCATACTACCCCCTATAATAGAATTTGATATCGGCCTAGCTGGAGCTGGATACAGGAATCTGGTGTTTTGGTCCAACGGCCCAATATTGTTATTTCTTATTTTCTTTTCTTTTTTATTTCTTTTTTTTTTTTTTTTTTTTTTTTCCAAATTTGCCTCTCCAACTATACCCATTTCTTCCTTAACCTCACTTACCTCCTCCAGGCTGCTGCACACTTTCCCCCACTTCCCTCTCCCACTTCCCACTTCCACCTCTCTCGTCCCACTTTACTTCCTCCCTACTCCCCGATCCAGGTTTTTTCTTCTCTAGTTCATCCTCTCCTTGAACTCATCGATCTATCCTTTTTTTCTTTCTTTCTTGTCCTTCCTTCCTTACTTCCTTCTTTTCTTCTTGATCTACTCGTCGGTCGATTTGACTGGTTCTGATTGATTCCCTTGGACGGGTCCATTATTCCTCCACTACATGTGATTATCCCGACCGCAGTTGGTTCGGCTTCCCAAGTGTGCGTGTTTGGCTCCCTTTCTTCCCCCATCCCGTAATTTGCAGTCCACCCCGTTGCCCCGCGCCAAAGAATCTCCTGGTCCGCCCGAGCGATTATTCTGCTGTCTGAAAACACCACTTGATTGTTGCGAATGTGGTTTCGATCTGGCTAGCTGACCTGGTCCGCACTTCAGGAGTTGGCAACCACTCATCAATACAAAACGGATCCCGACCCCCGATTTGCCCCTACACAATGGAAACAGAGCAACAACCGTTACCGGACGTGTCTCCCTCGCATCCCGACCTCAGCACCTCCGAGGAGGATGCCTCACCCTCCATGACCCCCCACCCCGCGTCGATACCCTCCCTCCGTCCGACCTCCCGCGATACCGCCTCCGCCCCCGGCATCACGGCGTCCTCCACCCACATTGGCCAAATCAATGCCGCTCGACGTGGTGCCGGGACCCCGCCCCGACCGCAACCCTCCATGAGCGGTGCGCAGCCCGGTGGGTTGAACCAGGATATCATGGCCAAGATGAGGGCCTTTTCGCTGTCCCGTCAAGGCGCACCCCCCAGCTTGTCCCAAAGCGCGTCGACGGGGGCCGTTCCCAGACCCTCTTCGGGGGTTCCCCCAAGCCCCGTGTCCAGACCCTCTCCGCCTCCCGTCAATGGCCCATTGGCCGGTGCCACCCCGGGGCGTCTTCCGCCGGTCGCTCGTCCAGGCACCAAGAATTGGGCCTCCTCCCCGTCAATTCCGGCCAGTTCGAGCCCGGGTACCTCGCCAAGACCTGGAGGGTTGGCTGCGAAGCGGATGAAACCGGGGCTGAAACTGTCCGATGCGACGGGGTCGTCGAATGAGTCGCCGGGAGCCAATCCCGCCGCCAAGGGTCCCAGTGGGTCGGGCGAAAGCGCCTTCAGCAAATATTCGGAATATATCGACACCAAGACCGGGACGTTAAACTTCAAGAACAAGGCGATCCTTCACGGAGGGGGCGTGGAATTCTCGTCGGGACATAGTTTCAAGATCTCCTTGGATGAGGTGGATCGGCTGGAGGAGCTGGGCAAGGGCAACTATGGCACGGTGTACTTGGTTCGACACCGGCGGCCTTCGATGCGCAAACCGGGCATGGGGCTCGGTGGGATTGCGAAACGTCCAGAAGCGCCGGAGGCGAGCTCGAACCCCCCCCAGGATAATCTGTCCGGGATTGTCATGGCGCTGAAGGAGATCCGTTTGGAGCTGGATGAGAGCAAATTCGCCCAAATCCTGATGGAGCTGGATATCCTTCATCGCTGCGTGTCCCCTTTCATTATCGACTTTTACGGCGCCTTCTTCCAGGAAGGGGCGGTCTACATCTGCGTGGAGTACATGGATGGCGGTTCGATCGACAAACTCTACAAAGGCGGCATTCCTGAGAACATCCTCCGGAAAGTGGCCCTCTCGACGGTCATGGGATTGAAGACCCTCAAAGACGACCACAACATCATCCACCGCGACGTGAAACCGACGAATATCTTAATCAACTCCCGGGGGCAGGTTAAGATCTGCGATTTCGGCGTCAGCGGGAATCTCGTCGCCAGTATCGCCAAGACGAACATTGGCTGTCAGAGCTACATGGCCCCCGAACGGATTGCCGGTGGCGGTGTCCAGCAGTCCGGAGCTAGCGGCGGTGGAACTTACAGCGTGCAGAGCGACGTCTGGAGCTTGGGCCTGACCATCATCGAATGTGCTATTGGTCGGTACCCATACCCTCCGGAGACGTTTAACAACATTTTCAGCCAGCTCCACGTAAGCTCCCTTACTATTGATTTTTTTTCAAAAATCGGAACGAGAAAGCTAACCTTGATAGGCCATCGTTCACGGCGATGCCCCAACGCTCCCCGAAACGGGCTACTCGGAGGAAGCGCACGCTTTTGTCCGCGCCTGTCTGGACAAGAGCCCGAATAACCGCCCATCATACACCATGTTGCTCCGTCATCCCTGGCTCGCCCCGCTCATGAAGCCTCCCACCGAGTCCAATGGCAGTGCCGAGGGCCACGAAGAAAGCGGCTCTTCCGTGACTGAAGATCCGGAGGTGGCCGAATGGGTCCAGGACAGGCTGAAACTCCGTCAGCAGAGTCAGCAGAATGGATCTGACAAGCCTGCCTTGCACGCCGTCGCGTTGGATGCGGTTCCTGGTAGTCCCCTTCTTGACGATCCGTCTGCGATGTTCCAGGGATAGACTACAACTCTAGGGATAAAGACGTGTCTTGTTTTTGATACTATGGTTTGGGGAGCGTCTCGCCTCGAATCGACCCCGGTTAACTCAACGCAAGCACGTTTATCAGGCCGCACTCGGCGGGACATCCAGCAGTCAACTCTATCCCCGCATTATGTTATGTCTTACCAGTATCAACCCAAACAACCCTGGTCGACTTGAAAATCACAACATTGAAACAGTGACAGATCTGACATCGGGTTGGGTTGTGTTGTTGGATACCTCTTTCTGATCTGATATGATACCTGATTTCCGATATTAAATCATGTGTAACGAGTATGGAGGGATGTAGTACTGGGTATGATGTTTACAGCCATTTCATTTCATTTCATTTTGATCAGTTCACTTCGCATTGGTGATGAAGGCTAGGGATTTAACGATGGATTATATCATGTTATTAGGATTCAACAAGATAGAGCCAAATTTTTTTTTTTTTTACTACATATACGTTTTACTACGCTATGCTATAGGCAAGGCTGTTAATAGATGGGCCATTCACTAAGGTACTAGTGTGATGTGGGAAGGGGAGTGATTCACAACCAACTACCTTGTGAGCCACCTACCTTCGCCAAGGTCCTCTGTGATATCACACTTGTGTAATAGTACCTGAGAGATCTTACGTCTGTATATTCCCCATCCTTTGCTACATATACAGGTAGATAAGTAGTGAGAATGATATGATAAGCTTCGTTTTCTTCTTTGTCTTTGTCTCCTGTATTTTACTCTATATAGTTTCCACTGCCTGGGTATCTTACATGGCTAGGCTAGACTAGAGGCTTGCTCAGATATGGATGGGTCGTTGATCCTCAACGAGCTAGACGTCTACAACATTATTGTAGAAAGTACCCACCTACCTACCTACCTACCTACCTAGATAGATAGATAGATAGATAGGTAGCTACTTTCCTAGTGAAGTCCAATCAAGTCATCGGTGTGGAATGGTGAAAGCAAGCCAAGTGATGGATATAGAATAGTGGTGAATGGATATAACCATGAAACAAGTAAGCAATCACGAAAATCAGCTGATTTGTAGACTTTTCCACAGATTAGGGTAAATGACTCTTTGACTTTCTTGAAATATTACAATTACTATATTCTGTTATCTCAAGAATCACTTATTTATCATTATATCTTTTCTTTGTCAAATAAAGGGAAATACAATCAGCGAACAAACAAGCATATCAGTCAACATACAGTGGAAAAATCTCCTCGCATATTGTTTCCCTCACTAGCTCATGTCTTCTTGCAATCTTGCAAGTATTTACAACTGTGTGGCTCTTTTCCTGGTCTTGGGGAGCTTCAATCATCGGTGTTTTGGCTATTTCTTTAGTCCTCCCCTTGGTTGTTGTTATAGGGATGCATACGAATATATACATTGGCGGCTCTCAGCCCTATATATGTGTACGGAACATCCAGACAGCGATACAAACCTGGCGAGCTTGATCGGGGTTACTACCTGTAGGCGGCATGCGCTTTCACATTCATCGCCACATGTCCAGCCTGTTCATCACGGCCACCACCACGGTTTGGGCATCTCTGGAAAGAATAGAAGGAGGAGTGTACCGCAACACGAGTCCGAAGGCCAGGCCACCGAGCACGACATCCACTAGAGGGAGCCGCGGGTGTATTACGGGGTGAGGCCCAGGGATCCTACGCCTGAAATGGGTAACAGGAACGTGACATCTTCCTCCAGAGTGACCAATTTGCCCCCTCCCATGTCAGGACCCAAGAACCAAGCGGATGAGAAGAGAGCCAGTGTCAATAAACCTCTCCTTGCTAATGACAACCCTCTGGCATCTCAAAACTGTTCCGTAACGGTGATCAACGAGAACCCAGGCCAAGTGCCTGTTGGGACTTACAGAAAGGACAATATCCAAAGCTAAAGACAACACGTTATGTACATGGGTTTCAACATATGAGGGTCAGTGGTGCGATCTCTTGGGAAGCATAACATTCTGGGACAGGCAATCCCGACTGGGAAGAACCTGCGGGGCGGTTCAGTGGCACCTAGGGATATCGAGCTGTTCACGGACCTGAACAACCTCAAGCCGAGTGATCTTGAGGAATGGGTTTTGGGGGTGAATTGCCGGGATGCATATTGATTGAGCAAAGAACGTCTCACCGACGATGCAAACATGTTGGTTGTGGAAAGCTTCCCTGCGTGCGCCGAGTGTTCTTCACGGGTGGTGTCAAACTAGAAGCTCCAATCGTCCGAATATCTCTATATCTGTTTTGCTTCCTTTATTCTGCTGCGGACTAGCACCAATTATATGATGGTGGTGATGGTGGTGGCATTGGTGGTGAGCCTCTTGTCAGTCTTCACCCAGTCTTGCAACTCTAGAATACTGTAAATCTCATGCTCATGTGCAGCTGTTGGACTTTTGTCGGATATCGTAGATCGACAGTGTAAGCCCGCATTTGTCAAGGGTCCTTTATTCAGAGTCTTCTTCCTCCCACGTTGAAGTCCACAACAGTGGACAAGGATCCGCAAAGACCATTGCGCGATTATACATCGGTGTAGTGGTGAGAAACCACAAGTACAAAGGCGCCAGGGCGTTGAAAGTGTGTTCAGCAATGCAGACGATCTTGGGTGATCCACAATAGAAATGACATATCCTTCGGAGGATTTGCCATCTTCGTGATCCTGGTGGGAAGCGTCGATATATGCTTCCAGTTGTTTGGTGAAATGCAGGGTGTATGGACTTCAGTATCATTTGGATGTCTTCAGAGCAATCCACGGTTGCTCAGTTTACCAGCCAAGCATAACATCAATTTCTGCCATTGTCTGCATAGAGAAAACCAGCCCCTCTTAGCGGTCAAACCTGTAGTCCTCGATCCCTATCTCCTGCCCTTTCTCTTACCTTGGCTCATGCATGCCCTTCGCAGCCAAAGCTAGGGCCAGCATATCTTCTTGTCCTCCTGGCTACCCACGCCCTGGGAGCCCATCTTTTCAACGTAAATGTCCGCAAGAAGTAGGGCAATCTGCCATGTCAACTCGTCGAATTCGGACCCTCATATCTAGTTGCGCAGGTCTAGTAGCTATGACGGTACTGGCAATCTGCGCTAGCAGTGCCTCGGTGTTGGTTGCCCGGGCCAAGTGAAGGTTTCAGTTTGATTTTTCGGCCCGCAGGCTAGGCTCTCGCGGTTTTGGCCTGCTTATAATTGTCTGCATGGCCCCTGTAGCGGTTGGGTGTTGGTTGTGTCGGCTACCCAGGCGAGGAGGGGGCCTTCGAATGGGGGGAAAAGGGTCGTCAATAACCAATCTGTGTCTTCGGATCAGGAAAAAGTATGACCTGCGTGCTCTCAACATTCTAATGTTTGAGAACTTTGCAAATATAGACATCTTGGGTAGTCCTTCAATTACCCGCAGCGAGCATTTTGGATTCGTTATAGTCAGACTCATTGTCGTTCCCCCCCCTGTGATGGGTTGGCAGAAAGTGATGCAGTCGTACAAGACGTTTTTCAACGAGATATTTGTTGACATGCTACTTCCTCTGAATAGTCGTTAAAGATATTCTATAGCATCTTTTGGACGTGCAGTCTGCATTGATCCGATCCTAGGATGATGTCCGATACTAGCACATCCCTGGGCGTTTTATTGAGGACACTCATCTCTGTGGTAAGGTCCTGGACCCTGTATCTGCATTTTTCTCCCTTTGGCTGACTGTAGAGGGCCACCGCCTACGAAGCCCTTGCGAAACCAATCCCAATCAGGAATTTCGTAATGATTCAATACCACGGTCAATTTTGAGACGGCCCTGAGGACAGAACAATCGAGTATCCGTTCTCCGGTTTCTGTCTTGCGGAAAGCCACATTGTAATGTTTGGCTCGAACTTCACCCCCGCGGGTGAAATTCTGGCCATATTGCCGTCGTTCCTTGCGCTTCGCATGGAACAGCTCGATGGTCTCGTCCTCGTTCAGAAAGCGGCATTTCTCCAGTGTTGACGGCGAATATATCTCAAGAGAGCACTAGTTATTCTTGGTTAGTTCAGACCTAATATCCATATTGACTTGATATATACCTACCTACCTTCGCCGCGCGTCATGCTCGTCCTCATCGACGTCCTCATAAAGTAGTGATTTCTTCATTGAACCATGAATGAATCACAGCTACACAGATATACCGTTTACTAGATTGAACGATAACCACGGGGTTATTATCCTAGATCATGCAAGAATTCTGCGTTTCCCCAATACTGCCATGTAAGTACTTCAACACGGCCCTGTCTCTTGTCAGCTTAGACTTGATATCATCTTGATGTATATACTTACTTCTCGCCACTCGCCTTCTTGTTATCATTAATTCTTCTGCGAGGAAGTAATCCAACGGTGACTGTGGTCAAGATCATTTCCATTCTCAACATAGACTTAGCCATAATTAACCTTGATCTATACCGCGCATGCTATGGTATTGAAAGTTTTGCCATATCAAAAACCAGGCCGCACACGCGGGTGATCCAGCAACTATACCAGTTTAGCCCAATAATCCACAAACCCGCCGACAAAATATGTGATAGACATACACTCCCCATGCAGTCTGACATATGAATGCCAGCAAGGCGGGCAGCACCAGCGCCAGTTTGCTCGGTGGCCTGGCCTTCGGACTCGTGTTGCGGCCTGATGCAATCATTCGGTTTGGTAGGGTTCTTCGGTCTCCAGAGACTCGGCCTGGTGGTCGATTGAGACATGCTGGGGCCCGCGTTCGCGTGCTTAAACGGATTTGGTGGTAGTTGGGAAGTGGAATGGAATGGAAGAATAGAGAGATATGGAGGAGGGAGAAAGAATAGAAGAGGAGAGGTTTAGGGTAGCAATGAGAAGAGGTCCAGTGATAGTGAATAGGGTGAGTGATATGAGAGCTAGGGATGCGCAGGAAGTGAGGTTCCCTTTCGCCCTTCCGCTCTCTGTCTCCGCCTCACTTTGCCGGGTTCAATCCGATGAGAATGGTCAAAGTCTTAGTGATGTTGACAGCTTTCGTCTATGGAAGGGCCGCAGAATTGTGTGTATGAAGAATCAACTAGGAACCCTGCATTGCTAGCTAACGCGTGGACCGAGTGCAGTTACTGATTCTCTCACATCTCGAGTCTTTTTATTCAGTACCAGCTGCGATAAGAAGGGTCTATTTATACCCAACTCCCCACACAGGGACGAAAACTGCGAGCACAGCACTATAATCTTGTCTTATGGAAAGAACAAGCCTGGTTCTCTGCTCAACAGCAGAAATCTCCCAAGGACCATGGATCCTAAAACAGGCTCTGCAAAGTCGGCCGGAGACTATAGTCAGACCAACAGATACCTGCTCTCTCATCCCTACTGCTCTCTGCGCGGCGAAGGAAAAGCGAAAGTGTGGGATGGCTCGCTGGATATGTAAATCTCCCTTGGAACACTATTTACCCAGCTGTATATTCAGCTATGTAACAGAAAAGGGAATGTTCCGAGCGCGAACTTCAATATTAGGGTTGGATACTGAGCGAGACTTGCACAACCAGCTATCAGAGGAGAATTGGAAGCGACAATTGATGCAGAAGTATCAGAAGGTCATTCTCAAAAGTCGTTCCGGAAGTTTGACCAAGATGGTTCATTCTGGAGATACACTCTCATCACAGCCGGTCTTCAGAATGCTACACGATGAATGAAAGAAGAGCCTGACTCCCTTGGTCTATGGGAAGAGATGCGATCAACCGATTTGCACATCGCTACAACTTGAACGTCATAGACTGCTTGGTAGAGAATTGAGTTTGATTGCTATTGTTCTTATTATTCCAATCAGATATTATCTCACAATAGCTAGAAAACACAAATCCATATATAGCACCACCTACTTGACTCCATCGTGTCTGTCTAAACTAACCCCGGCCTAACCCCGGCCTGACCCACCTTGATAAAGACCCACAGGATAATGATTATAGTAGTTTCCAATCTCCTTAGCCCCGAGTATACGGTGTAGTAGCAGTCAAGTAGCACGATCTAACCCACGCTATAATCTGAAAGGAAGAAGAAGTAAGTAATTACCTAATAGATAATCACCCATTAATAGCACCAACTAACTAATTTAGACCGATGTAAGATATAATATTATTGAATCATGGAAGATGGAGAACATTTAATTAGTACAGTAAGTACAGTAAGTGCTAGGTAGGGCTGATGAGATATTATCATCCTGTAGATGCCACGTGCGTGGTGGTCTATATATAGAATGACCCCGGCATCCACCCGTCACTCCTTCCACCACTCCACACTTACACCCAGACTAAGTAGGACCCAATAAAGATACAGATCGCCTCGCTTTTATTATTCTATTTCCTCAAAGGATACACTAGCTAGGTTAGTACTGACTCGTCGGATAAATCGACATAATCGAGTATGGCATGAAGAAAAAAAGACGAAGGAACGAAAGAAATGAAGAGTCCCTGCATATACGAGAAGCAGTCAGTCAGTCAATCAATCAATCAATCAATCCTCCCAAGTGGATACGGTGCTACCTACCTACTTAGTACCTAGTATCCACACTACCCTACCTATCCTACCTATCCTCCCTAGTGCTAGCCCTAATCTAGCCTCGAGTCTACACTAGATATGCATGGCGATGTTAGTTCAGCTACTCCGTACTGGAGTTGACTCGGGGAGAAGGACGGGGGAATGGGCACAAGCTAAGTTAGTCAATGCTAACCCAGTGTAGTACTATACTACGAGATCGTATACGATCTGTATATGTGAGGGAGATTACTCCTACCTATATTTAACATCCATCCCTGCTTTTCGGGTTCTTGCTTGTTTGGCTTGCTTGGCTTTGTGGTTTATCCGAGGGTATGGCATTGGTTGAGTTGTTATTTTGGTCGGATCGTCAAATCATAATAGTAATGAGTGTACGATGGACGGATATACTACACATACCAAGTCTATCTACTTCCAGTAACTTCGGATTCCGTACTTGAAGGTCCTACCTAAATAGTCAATTATACATGAAACCCGAGTCCAAACACCCTTCATCCAGCCTAACTACCTAACAAACGACCCTCCCCTCTTCCCTGTAAGGATAAAAAAAAACACGTTGATCATCATGCAATCCGAGCTTCTGACAACGACCCCCTCCCCTTCCCCTCCGTCATCCCCCCCTCATCCCCACATGGTCACCTCCTGCATGGGCTACTCAAGATAGTGCTATGTACATACCGGTTTGTTTGAGGTCTATTAATAGATCGGGTTAATCAAACTTTATCATTTCCCCTACAACAGTACTAGACTAAACTAGGCAGTTGGCACCTGCGTCGATCGCTAAAGATCGATTCCGCTAGATAAATCAAGACTGGTTTGGTCAGATTTTAGAGCTGTTTTATCACTCTTGATGATGATCATGATAATAATAGTAATAATAATAGAAGGAAAAGTAGTAAATCAAGATGATGAAATGAGTTTTTGATTTAGCGCTAATTGGTATCAAACCGTGGCGGTTTCTCCGCAATACAACTCGCTCTAGCATAGCAAAATGAAAACCAAGAATAGAAGAAGAAAAAAAAAATGAACTCCACATCTCGTAACTGGTTCCGTAGCGAGCGTCCTGTATGCAATATCCCGTAGCTGATCGATCAATCAATGAGAAAAAAAAAAAAAAAAAAAAAAAAAAGGTATAGCGCATGCCTGCTGGTCAAATACAAAGTGGGGAGATAAACCAAAGTGGAGAAAGAAATCAACAGAGAAAGAATCATGGAGAAAAGTGGCCCGCCTTTCTAATCGCCCATTATCAAACAAAATATCAAACACACAAACAATCCAAAAACGTTGGTTCCGTGACCAATCGTAGGTATAGGTGTATAAAAAGTATATCATATCAATCACACAGGGATAGTGCCGGTCCAGCACGGCTCGGCACTGCTATACCCCCCGACGATAGCTTGCGGTTCGCCGTAGAGGCCGAGGTTCAGCCCCAGGGTGTTGTCCACCCGGGCGAGGCTTTCGCAGGCTAGGTCGGCGCTGAATGGGGGTGGGAATGATGGCGAGTGCTGGAGGGAGCCGGCGTGGCTGGAGTCGGAAAAGTCCTCGTGGGGGTCGGAGAGAAGGCGGGGGGAGGGCGGGTAGAGAGGCTGGCAGGCTGGAGCGGTCACGTACGTGGCGGAAACGTCAAAGGGCGAGCTCGCGACGCTCACGGCCGGTGGGGATTGGAGGGGTGGTGTGTATGGTGGGTAGGTGGCGGAGGTTGAGGAGGGCGAGGACGAGGATGCGAGGCGGTAGTCGTGGTAGTGGTATGGGCTGGGTGGGGGAGGAGGAGAGTAATGGTCGATCGAGGTGCGTGGCGACCAGTGGATGCGGGTTTTGTAGTTTGCGACGATATGGCGGGGAAGCTCGAGGATGGCTGCTGCGAGCTGCAGCTCGGCGTTGTAGGGGTCGGCGGTGCTGGTGGTGAGGACTATGCGGTAGATTTCTTCGATCGGGGCAACGGAGAGCGGCCCCAAGTAGGCGCCTCCAAGGTCGGGAAACAGACTGTCCAGCGCGACTCCCACGCCGAAAAACTGAGCGAGGATGGCCAGGGCTGGGAAGTCTGCCTCACCACCGCGCAGCATCGCAGGCGGCAGCCAGAAAAGCCACCGACGCAGCGGCTGCATCCGCTCAAACGCTTGCTGGGGTGTCTGCGAGACCAGGTCTCGGCGGAAGTGACGGACGAACTCGACGAGTTCCGCGATTCGGCGGTAGTGTTCGTGGTTGTGGGCGACTCGATCCTGGATATTTTGGAGGGTCAGGACGGTCTGATCAAGACTGGTCAGGTCTTCATCCTGGAACTGGTATCCTGACATCCCGGGGGTGTTGGTGCACCCCAGGTACCGCTGGTTCTCCAGGAAGAGAGCCAGCTCGGACTCATCTTTCCAGGCGGGATGCATGGAGTCCAGAATGGTTGTAAGACCCTGCTGCAGCGAAGCCCAGCTTTGCCTGTGCCTGGTTAGTACCGTTGACATGGTGTCATTCGTAGAGCACTCACCACTCTGACGCTTGCCAGGAGAGGAGAATGGAGGCAGCCAGGATGGCATCGCAATTCTCCCGCGAAAAGGCTCCAATCGCCTTGTGTAGTCCTTGAATAGCAACACCTCTGTGATGGTAGGCCAGCTGCTTGGTCTCCTTATTTTGCGTGATCCACGCGAGATGGGAAGCCGACAGAGTGAGGATCGAGCTCATCACGAAGTCGTATGACAAGGCGAGGGACAGGAAACTGTGAAAAGTCAGTACCATTTCTCTCGTCAAAGCGCGCTCAACAACTCACATTGGCATCTTCGGGGCCCAAACCGTGCATCCACTCAAGCCCCGCCGGTGCAAATCAATAGATAAACCGATGATATGGTGAATGAGTCGAAGATCAGTTCGCGACAGCCTGCTCCACGCATTGCGCGGGAAGTGCATCAACTCGGGGAAGGGTGGAATCCCCGTGAGCTGCCAATTCTTGATCTCCATCTCGATTTCGGCGGACATAAGAAGGTCAGGAACTTTGCGGACCGGATGCGATTCGCCCTGCACTGCGGTCACATCCATGTAATCGCAGCGACAGTTGTGTTTGGTGCAGTTCCGGCTGGAGGATGTCAGCCATTTCCATCAGTGCAATGACCATGAACGGTGGGGTTGTCTACCATTGGGGGAAGTTTTCGTCGCAACGAATGTGTCTTCTCTTACACGTGCGGCAACCAAAGCGCGACTTGGTGTGGCTCTTGCGAGGAGGGCCACCGCCAGGACCAGCCATGTTGTCTGAAGGGAGGGGAGGGGAGTAGAAGGAGTGAAGGTAGGTTTGAGGATGTCCAAGTCGACCACGCTACTTCGTGCAAAATAGGTATCGACAGAGGGAAGCAACGAGTTGTTCGATGGGTATAAGGATAGAAGAAGACAGATGAGGTGGGAGGATAGAGGGATATATAATGACGAGGATGGGAACCGAGAGAGCGGGTCAGGTCAGGTCAGGTCAGGCCAAGCCAGGGTATATGAGATAGTTCGGAGGACCAGCCTAGGGCGTGACAGAATGCAGACTCCAAAAATAACCTCGAGCCGCAGGGCCCCAGGATGTGGAGGGCGGGAGGAGGAAGGACGGACAGATAGGCACGTGGAGAATACGAGAAAACGGTAAGGAACAGAGATTGGGGGAGCAAGTAGGGGATTTATTTTTGATGTGGATCTTCAGAGAGCACGGAGGAAAACGAGGTGGAGGAGATCGAGGTCAGAGATATAGATAATAATAGAAAAGAAACAGCGGTAGTGAGATTTCAGCTGAACGGTGATGGGAGATAAGATGGAGAGAAGGAGGGAAATAGCCAGAGAGAGAGGGGGTCCCACTGTGGTTAAAAACCGCGAGACTAAGAGTTATCGTAGAGGAAAGGTTGAGGAGAAGATTATCATGATGATAATATTAACAAGAAAGACTTTGTAGGGTTAGGGGGGAGAAAAAGAAGATGTAAGAAGATTAAAATAAACCAGGAGGGGCGGAAAACAAATCAAATAATATAACCAAAATAAATCAGTCAAAAGAAAAGAGAAGAGAGGAGAAGAAAATAATAAAATCAAATCAAATCAAACAAACCCGTAAGAAAAGACGGGATAATAATCAAAAAGAAAAAAAAAAAAGGAAGTTCAGGACTAGTCAGCCTGGGGAAAGGTCAGTCAGTCAGAGAGAGTCGTAGAAATCGACCAGGCAGTCCAACGCCACGGTCCAACCAGTCAGATGTTGATCTCTGGAATGCACTAGGTAGGAGGAGGTGGAAGTCCTCCGAAGGTAGGTAGGGAGGAGAACCAAGGTTAGGAAGAGGACAAAGGAGGAATAGAGGAGGAGGAGGAGGTGCAGGAAGACCGAGCAGTAGCGGGATTGGGTATAGTCTCAGGAACTAAAGTCTGGCTAGAACGATGAGTAGATGCGTAGCGTGGATGTAATGAAGGAGAAGATCAGAGGAGAAAACAACCGTCCAAGTAGTGGAGGGTGGAGAAAATGCAGAGGATCATGACTTTGAGCCTCCTCAATAACATTCTATGAATATTAATACAATATGATATTATCTGGTCTGAATGCGGGCTAATCTAGTCTGCATGCCTCACTTGTCTGTATCATTTCATTTGCTATTGATATTATATTTCTGATATTCCTGATATGTTATGATACTGATGATGAGTAGGTATGTTTGCCCAAGATTTGCCCAGCATATTCAAGTGATCAGGCTGGACCGTACAGAAGTTCAGATCATGGAGATCATTCAGTAAAAGTACTTACTTCTTCAATCGATGTGATACCTACAGCTACCAAATCCTGAGACTAGAATGACTCCCCGTCCTCAGCTGGACCAGGGCTACTCCAGACGGACCAGTTCCATCCGTCCCAAGCCCCACACAGAACCCAGTGCTCGTCCCCAGTTGGAGGACAGTCATCCCTCCTACAAGTTAGGCCACATGGAAGCACCACCACCAGACAAACCGGGTCGTACTAATTCCTACACTTTCCCTCTCTGGTGAGAAAGTGTCATGGTACCCAGGGTGCTAAGGCCACCGGGCTACCAAAATACAAAACAATCCACAATAAGAACGATGTGGATGATGATGATGACGATGACGATAACAATGCTAATAATAAGAAAAACGGGAGAATCTGACAGGGTCAGCCAAGAAAGACCCTTTTCCAGCCTCTAGCCCATCAAAGGTTATTCTGGAGCAGTCGTCCATGGGGATCCCATCCGTCCCCCCGGGTGGTTTAGATTCACACCGGGATCCAGGATGGTCTTCTGATTGACTAGTTGGAAACCTTAGTCACATCTGAGACCAACAATCCAGTGCTTTGTCCATCTGGTTGATGGGGAAATTCCCAATCCCAAGGATGCTCCAAAGTTAAAATAAAGGTCCATCAAAGGATACATCGATTCACCGTTCTGGTCGCCGTTCTGGAACCAAAACACACAAAGCTCCCTCTGTCGCCTCCCCCTCACTGGCGGTGGCGGCTGGACCCCAGATCGACAGGTAACCAGACAACAGTGCAGACACAGGGGTGTGACGGACCATTGACAGAGGGCACCTGTATGTAGGAGTCATTCTAGGGTCAGGGTCCGCGGAGATCGTAACCATCCTTTTCTCAAGAGACTGGAAGTGAGAGATCCACAACGACTTCTCCTTCTGTGGAGGGAAAGGAATGGACTGAGGAACAAGATCTCTTCCCCCCTCTCGGGAATAGTGTGTTTTCGGCCGGGGACTTTGATTGCCAAGCTAACGGGACATTTTTTTTTTGTTTTTTGTTTTTTTTTTTTTGTTTTCTAGTCCACCCGCTCGTGCTTCGCTTACTCCCACTGTCCCTTACTAGTCAAGTTATTTGCTGCGTGTAATTAGGCCCTTGGAGGGTTATGATGACACATTGCATGACAGCCAATAGTCAGATAGGGCTCTTCTGCCCTTTTAGGAGAGAAAGGAGAGACACCTCAGAAGAGGACAGAAAAAAGAAAGAAAGAAAGAAACAGAACACAACAAAAGAGCAAATTACCGGCGAGGAAAAACAAACCCTAAGACGACAGGCCCGAACGCGACACCAAACGCGAAAAGGAAAAAGGAGGAAAAGGCTAAAAAAAAAAAAAGAAAAAGGAAGAGGAAGAAAATGAGAAGCCATTCATTTGTCTGTCTTGGGAAGGGGCTCGATGATCCCAGCTAGGCCGCCATGCTTATTGTTCCGCGGTATCAGTCTAACAAACCCTTCTGCTGAATCTACCTACCTAGTAGGAAGGTATTGAACAACCAGGCATAAGGTACGGAGAAGACTGTACATATCTTGTTAGTGTCTCACGCCCTTCGCTTGACAAGGGGGATGAGCATGGGCATGGGCATGGGCATGGGCATGACGCTTTACATGCTTCAATCAACAGTCCCATCCATCCATCTCCCTTGATTACTAGGATCCCATTGGCCACGCGATCCTTCTCGTCCGTGAACAAATCCCAGATGCCCCTGAAATTGCTTTTTCTTTTTCCTTTTTTCTCTTGGAGTGAATCAATCCACATTTCCCGTTGGAATTGTCCTCCTATCCCCCCCATTCTCAACCCGTCATAGTCATATATTGACCCACTAGTCAGTTGCCTACTAACTCCGAACCGAATCGTCTGGGATTAAGTTTCCCAAGAGGCGGTCGATGGTTGCTGCCTCGGGCGGATCGGGCGCACCAGCACCAGTCTAATGGAAACCTACTTATTACCTACCTCACCTTACTTCCGCGGGTGGGTAAGTTCCCCCCCATCAATGCGCCGTTTCTATCCGACGGTGGAAAGCTGTTTGCTATCTTTGTGCCGCGGCTCAATGAATGCCAAGTCGTCCGTCCTCCACCACAACGAAGTCATGCTCCTTCTGGGGGAAATTATACCCTCGTGACGCGCATGATCACTACTTACTTACTTTTCCAGCAACCACAAGCTCAAAGCAGGAAGAACAACCGAACACTTCCACCAGAATCAGCCCAAAGGGCGATAGCTACGATGCGGCTTCGACAGGTTTGGACAAGGCGCGTTCTGTGATTCGTCACTTTGGTGCCCGGGTCGATGCCAAGTGTCTGTTTTGGGTATTCCGCACTCTCGTTCATTCCTTGGACTCAGTATTTCTTTGGATAGCATACAAAAAATGGGTGAAATGGTACTGTACTATATATAGTTAATATAGAATAGATAGTTCTCCGTTCGCATGGCTACACTACCGATCTCTGTGTAACAGCGTGCGGACCATGTTTAGTTCTCGTTTGTGCTACTGCTCAGTATTCTGTGGTATTTCTCGAGAAAAGAAGCCAAGGGAAAAGAAGCCAAGCCGCCAAGACAAACAACACATTTCCACACGCAGAAAAGAGTATAGGCCAGGGTCATGGCGGCCTGCGCGAGGATGTAATTATAGTAGGACTAGTCTGTTTACAGTTTAGCCTCTCAAATCAAGGCAAATCATCTTGAGGGGTCCCGAATCATGGACGCGGCTGGTTGAATAAATAAATAAATAAAAAGAAGGAAGGGGAAAGAAAAAAAAAAAAAAAGAGAGGGAAAAGATGGAGAAGAGCAACCATGGTTGGTCCAAGTCTGGACTTGAGTCTTTCTGCCTTTTTGGAGTAATGCTTGCGGCTGACGGGGCAAAGTCAACAAACACCCGGTGTCAAACCAGGTTTGAAGGTTGATTTATTAGTAAGAGAAATGAAAATCAACTCTTCGACATCCTTGCCTGTTGTAAAGAACGCTACTAGTCGAAGATGGACTAGGCCTCCATGATGGATGATGGATAGATTCAAAGGTGACACAACGGCAGTCATGCCCTCTCGGCAAGAGAAAACGACGGTGGGTAGTTGGAGACAGTAACACCGGTTTCAGCCGTCGATGCAAGATCCAGACTCCGTGTTACAGCATCCCAGGCGGTCGGATGAAACACGTCCTGGACATCCATGGTGTTGTTCGCTTATTTTGATCGAAATCGGATATGACCCGGGGGTCCTGGCATGATATACGTCTTGTTTCTTGTCAGATGGGGTTCAACAAGTAAGTTTTCGAGTAGTGACAGACAACGTTGTGGATACCTCACCGGTCAACTGAGACGTTTGCCCACAAGTCTGACTACAGAGAGAGTTAAGGTAGGTGATGATTGGCGGATCCAAGTCTCAATCAAGGTTGAGGGGAGATTGCCTGGAAGCCTTCCGTCGGGTCGACGCTTGTTGACCCGGCGAGGGAGAGAGCTTGAAGAACATGATGGCCAATTGAGGGGGGATCTCCGACCATGGTTCTTCGGACGAGGCTGAGCACGTCCCAAGATTTGGCTTGACAATGCTATGCCTCCACCGGTACCAACACAGTCAAATCCATCAACCATCGACCATCAACTGTCGTCTGACTTGAGAGTATGACATGGACTCATCCTGCATGGTCAAGACCACGGTTGCATGGATTGGTCGCACAAGATATCATGCCACGTTTTTCAGAAGAATCCTAGTACTGATGGATATAATCAGAATAATCATGGGAAGGCGTGGACGTCCCCAGATCAAACCGCCATGTGATCACCATGGCTGGGGATCCTTGTCCGTAACTATTGAAAAGTTAAATTCGAGAATCTCCACTGGGAAGTCTGGGTGGAATGTCGGTTCGAGGGATCAACACTGTCTTGTCTTGTCTTGTCTTTATTTCTGTCCTGTCTTTGTTTCTGTCCATTCTGTCATTTCCGTCCATGACATTCTTTCGGCGTGAATCTGCAATCTGATCGGGTTCCCCGAAATTAGCTTGAATCAGGTTAATCAGACGGGATGACTACTTCACCATAGTGACCACCAAGCAAGGCTATCCTAGGTATTCCCAAGTAAAGCCGAGAGTCCACCATAACCCCCGGCGTCATCCCCATTCCAGTAAAAAGAACGACGGCAATTCCCGACCCGCAAATCCACCCCAAAAACCCACCCCGGTGTCCAACCACTGGCTCACCACCCTTCTCCACATCCGACCAGTCATGATCGGTGGAGGCAAAACCGGAGATCGACCCAATGAAGGCCCCTGGTCTGGTGCCCTCTCAGCGAATGATTCTTCAACCCGGGGACCACGCCTACTTAGACTCGCGAGATGGCACCTAATCTGGCTAGAGGGGTCGCTCGCTGGGTCACCGCTGATTGTCCGCTGTTGGACCTTGGGATTGGTTCGTTGGCGATTAGCTCTGACTATCTGTCCCCGTCAGGCTAAAGTTGGTTTGGGGATTATCAACTTTAATTTCATCCAGCTCCTGGCCGATGTCTGTTCGTTGTTACCAAATAGGTTTAAGATGCTCTCCTGAGATCGGAATGAAATCCCCGAATCTGTTGACAGATTGATAGCGATAGATATGGCGACAGTCCGACTCGACTTGTCAGGCTTCTGTATCCCGACCGTTACACATGCCAGGTCGCCATGTGGGCTGACAGTCGCCGACCTCCACGATTGTTTCCCCGTCATCCTCGATGAAGAGGTAATCAGCACAGGCCATCTGTCGAAACACCACCACGACGCTCCCTTCCCTTTACAGGGACAGCCCAGATACCAGCACAATAATAATCTTCAACGATAGCCACGTCAGAACCCAATCCGTGTTAGTGTCCTGGGCTAGTTCGGTCGGGAGGCAAGAGGAAGTGTATTGAAATTGAGATGCCCAGTAGAATGGCGGCTGACAGGCTCATCCAGAGAGTTTTTCCCTTCCTTCCTTTTGTTTCTTACCCCATTTCCCCCTTTTGGACGAGTAATTAGATGCCCTCCCGTAGACTTACGGTTCGCCCGACATGGACTCCAGCCTCCTGTAGGTATAGAGCCAGGAAGATTCCGGCCCACCAGCTCCAACAGAACCAGTCCCGATCGAGAATTAAGCTCTGCCCAATCAATGACACATCCGCGGGCAAATGGTCAACCCAGAATCGATGTGTCGCTGTATCACGTTTTTTTGGCGACCCAGCATTCTGTTAAGCAGTCGTGCCTCGAGTGCGGTGTGGGAATCTGCAAGGGCTGATTGGAATGGAATGGTTTGAGTCACTGGGATGTAATCCTATCAGAGGCGACGACGGGGTTACCTTTTCCGTCGACGACATGTTTTGGTCAGCATGTGCGAGGCAAGGCAAATGACTGGTACGACACCTCCTAAGTTGTCCTGGGTGGTTGAAGGGAGGTTGCAGCTTCAATGGGGGACCATCCTCCACGCGGTTCTCTGGGCCAGGACAGCCACATCTAGTCATCTGCTACCTGCACTTCTAGATTGCTATGCTGTTACATTTGAGGGCTTCAATTCAGACCCGCTGTCAAAGTCAAACTCAAACTTAACTCAGAGGAAGTATGTGGACAAAGATTGATCATACTCAATTCTTATTTCCCTATTTTTTTTTTTTTTTTTTTTTTTTTGGCTCATTATCGTTATCATTTTGTTCTATTTCTTTGTATATTGATGTTCTCCAATCGAGAAAATATTAAACCATACCTATAATGAACGACATAATAAAATCAAATCGAAACATCCATCTATCACAAAATTAGTATGAAACGGTCCGT